CCTGCCGGGACTGCCCGAAGTCGTTCGGGAGCCTGGCCTCGGCCTGCCGGGAGTTCCCGAAGTTGTTCGGGAGTTCGGCCTCGCTCTCCCGCAGCCTGCACGGACTGCCCGAAATCGTTCGGGAGCCTGGCATCGCTCTCCCGCGGCCTGCCGGGAGTGCCCAAAGTTATTCCGGAGTCTGGCCTTGGCCTTGATCTTCCGCCGCCGGGTGGGATTATTGGAGACGTTGTGGGCGTGGCCTGACCCGAGCTGGCGAATGGGCGGCGCGGTGGGCGGGGCTTCACCGAGACTTCGGTGCCGAAGTGGTGCTTCTCCGGGGGTGACTGCCTTCCTCGCCTCCCTAGGAGGATGCTGGTGGTGGAGGTGGCCAATGGCCTCTCCCTGGTGTGGGGGGCCGAGGCGGTGAAGGCGCTGCGGGAGCGCCTGGGCGTGGGGGGCCGCACGGTGGGCGCCCTGCCCCGCGGGCCCCGCCAGAACTCACGCCTGGGCCTCCCGCTGCTGCTGATGCCGGAGGAGGCTCGTCTGCTGGCGGAGATCGGAGCCGTGACCCTGGTCAGCGTCCCGCGCCCGGACCCCTTCAACCACAGGCTGGTGAGGGACTTTGCTGCTAGGAGTGGGCTGGGACAACTTGGACTGGGAAACTTGGGTCCGTGAGGTGGGAGGGGCCTGGGAACCCCCAACTGAAATTTATGATTGGGATAGAGGGCTGGTAACTTCTAACTGTAGGCTATGGTAGAAGTAGGGGAGTGGGACCCCCACCCCCCAACTGTTAGGTATAGAGTTAGGGGCTGGGAACCTTTAACTCTAGCTTATGTTGGGGTAGGGGGCTTGGAACTTCCAACTGGAGGTTATGTTTGGGGTGGGAATCTTAGAACCTTGAACTGTGGGTCCCCGAGGTAGGAAGGGGCTGGCCTGGGAGCCCTGGGTTCTAGAACTCGGGAGCACTTGAAGGGGGGGCGGGTGCCGGGGTTTACTGCTGGAGTTAGGGGCCAGAGCGCCAGATTTCAAATCTTTGAGGTGGAGGGAGATGGAAAGCCCGATTGTGAATGTTTGGGATGGGGGCGGGGCGCGCTGCAAAGGAAGATGGCTGGGAGCCCCAGATTCTATACTACTCTTACTTGAAGCCCCGGATTTGAAGTCTCTACGGTGGGAGGGGGAACCCTGGATTGTGGATTGTTGGGGTAGAGGGCTGGGCATCCTTATCCCTGGCTCCTGATGGTCTGGGGATGCCATATCTTGAGCCCTGGACCTCTAGCCAAGCCCCCTCCACAGGCCCTGGCAGCGTTCAAACGCCAGCAAGAGCAGGATTTCCAGGAGCAAAGCGTCTTGGCGGCCGAGGCCCGTGAGATCCGAAGGCAACGTCTGCGGGAAAAGATCGCCCAGGGCCAGGCGGCCAAGAAGCTGAAGCTAGAACAGGAGGCAGGGGCCAGAGGGAGCCAGGAGACCCCTAAGAGTGAGGAGACCCTCCAGAACCAGGAGGACCCCCAGAACCAGGAGGACCCCCAGAACCAGGAGGACCCCCAGAACCAAGAGGACCCCCAGAACCAGGAGGACCCCCAGAACCAGGAAGACCCCCGGAACCAAGAGGACCCCCAGAACCAAGAGGACCCCCAGAACCAAGAGGCGTCTGGGAAGCACCCTGATGGACACACTGCTTCCAGCACTAGCCAGACTTCCACAGAGAATGAGGAAGCAGGTGAGGGTCTGGCCTGGTGGAGAGCTATGGTGAATTGGTTGTGTTTTTTGTTTTGTTTTATTTTTTTTAAATCTCAGCCCCAGGTTTTGTTAGGCTTTCTTCTGAATTTTTCTGGTTGAAGTTGTTGAGTTAAAGGGTTATTTTAGTTTCTTTTCTTTTTTTTTTAAATTGCTATAAATTGAACTCTCAACACTTCTTTTTCTAGGTCTCAAAGATTCTGATATATTTTATTTCCATTCTGCTTCGCTTTTAGAATATTTTTCTTTTTATCTTGCTATGCATTTTTTTCCCTGTTATCCAGTAATTTTTTAAAAAAATTTTATTATTTTTGTGTGCGTGTACCGTCAAATCAGATCTGACTGGTACAGGAGGAGATTGCCCCTCCTTCCCCGGCAGAGCATCTGGTGGATTAGAACCGTGCACCTCTGGGATTGTAGTTGCAGCTTCTTGCCACTAGGCCACCAGAGCTCCCCAGCACTAATTTTTAAGCAGGATGCTGGTTAGTGTCCATGCGTTTGATTTTTTTCCCCTCCTCTCTCTGATCTTTCTATAGATTTCTCTCTCTGGGGGATTGTGGTTGGGAATCAAGAGCCTTGGCGTCCCTGGAGGTAGGAAGGTCCTGTTTAACAAATAAAATCTCTCTTTTCTGCAGCACCCCCAGGTGCCTCCTCTTCCCAGCCAGGGCCTCCTGACGGGGTGACCCCCTTGCCCAGGTCTGCTCTGCTGGTCCAGCTGGCCACTGCCAGACCTCGGCCTGTCAAGGCAAAGCCCCTGGATTGGCGTGTCCAGTCTAAAGACTGACCCCATGCCGGCTGACCTGCCCACGAGCTACGGTACCGCATCTACAAAGACCTCTGGGAGCGAGGCTTCTTCCTAAGTGCTGCTGGCAAGTTTGGGGGCGACTTCCTGGTCTATCCTGGTAAGCTGGGGATTGGGACACCTCCTGATTGATGTGACTTCTCTCACAAAGCCACTATTCAGAAGTGGTCTGCTTTCTTATTGTAAATGGCCCCTTTCCCCCTGATGTTTCATATGACTTTATTGCCGTGTAACAAAACACTATTCTAAAACTTATTGGACTCCAGTAACAGGAATAAACCCGCTCACCCACTGTCATCCTGTGGGTGCAGGTTCACCAGTAAGATAGAGTTGAACTCAGACAGTACACACACCAATAAGGTTAATACCAGGGAAGAATGGAAAGGAACCGTAACACCAGGGAGGCACTCAGTCAACCGTGCAGGATCCCAAGAGCCGCTTTTGCTCAAGAATAAATCTCAGGAGGCAGGAAAGGATTGGAAAGAGGGATAAATGAAAATGAGAATCATAGCGGTGAAGTGGGGAGAGTGCTGTCGCAAGGTCAGGGTTGGAGGGATTGCTGTGAAACATAAATACGTATCAGTGGTTGCGTGGAAACCAGTTTGCTTCATAAGCATTCACTCAAATGGCAATAAAAAGGTTAAAGAAACAACAACAACAGTCCAGAGAAATAAAAGGCTAGAATTGCCCACAGAGTTTCAAGCCTGTAAATATTTATGGATGCAGACTGTCTGGTCTTCTCCCTTGGGACAGGAAGGGTTTTGAACTGTTTTTTGGGGACTCTGAAACACGCAGAAGGGCAGAAGTTCTTTGGAGGGCAGTTGGGTTATTTTGGAAGGAGCCCCAGTAGCATTGCGGTTAAAGTGTTCCACTGCCACCCAGAAGGTTGGTGGTTTGAACCCAGCAGCTGCTCTGGAGGAGAAAATTGAGGGGGTTAACATAGACATAACAGATACAGAATCTTCTCGGGCAGTTCTGCATTACCCTGCAGGGACTGTCTAAGTCAGAATCCAATCAAGGCC